GGTGCAGATGGTTGAGGTTCAGATGGTAGTGGTATGGTGAGTTGAGGTGTAGGGTTGTTGAAATTTCAGCTTCAGATGATGAAGGTTGAAAATGTGAGAGATTGAATTTGGAGCGAAGTGAAAGTCTACGATTGATTTGGTCAGATGCTGATAGGTCAGAAAATGAAGGTTTAAATGGATCAGGAATGTGTAAACAGGAGGGTGAGTGAACTTCTGATTCAGAATCAGATGATTCAGTGGAGTGGCATGAGGTGGATGACAAGACAACCATGGTTGCAAGTGGTTCCAAATCAAGAATGTCATTGGATGATTGAGAAATAGAGGGTTCTGGAACAGGTAATGATTGTTCTATTATTGAGGGTTGTTCAAATGGTGTTGGTTGGGGAGGTTCAAGTGAAATGGGTTGAGATTGATGTTCTTGTGGTTGTTGTTGTTGTTCTGGTTGTGGTTGTTGTTGTGGTTGAGGTTCTGGTTGTGGTTGTTGTTGTGGTTGAGGTTCTGGTTGAGGTTGTTCTGGTTGTTGATGTTCTGGTTGTGTTTCTGGTTGAGGTGATTCAAATGGAGTTTGTACATAAGATGGTTGAGAATGTGTAGGTTGAAATAGAGAGGGTTCAGATGAATGAATCCCAGATGATGGTGGTACAAATGATTGTGGTCTAGAAGGTGATGGAGGAGGTGAAGGTAATGGAGAGTGAATGGTTGGTGTTGGATCAGATGTTAATACCTGTTTGATAGTTTCTCTAATGTCTTCCACACTTGCTTCTGGAGGAGTTGGTTTCACTTTCTTTACCTTCTGAGGCTTAGCAGCAGCTTCAGAGGCTTTTCTCTTTGGATGAGCCTTAGATCCTTCTTCAGCAATCTTCTTTGAACGCCTTTCTCTAAGAAGATTAGGCAGAACTTTTCCTTCCTTCTGGACGATGTTAATAGGCAGAGGAACACCATTTAACAAACAATCAGCTATGTAGGATAAGATGATCTTCCTTGGTTCGTTAGCACTGAACATTGGAAAATCTTCAACAGAAATCCTTCTGTTGCTGACATCCTTAGTAGCAATTTTCTTAGGTTTGCTGGAAAGCTCTGTGATGACCTTCATCCTCTTCAGAGTATTGCCATTAATGACAGAACCTATGACATAGGACAGATCCTCTGGTACCCCAGCATCATACAGATGTTTCACAAGACCATTCTCTGTTAGAATGTCTGATATCAGTCTTCCCATAGGAATCCAATTCCTAACTTTTCCAGTTTTGACTCTTACTTCTTCTCTTGTTTCTTTTATATGATTCGGAAGGTGACTAAACAGAAGATAAGGCAAGCCCACCTTCTTTCCCTTGCTCATACAGAACATGAAGTAGAGTTGTTCAGCACTGACATAATCTGGAGATTTGATGATTTTCTGTGAAAGATGGAACTCATGAATATCTTGGCCCATATCCTGTAGATTGGCTTCAGTTCCCTTACTTTGCTAGTTGGTTCCCCAAAAATACTAACTTCTTGAAACACATCAGCAAGATCCACATGAGCAGATTGTAGACGGGTTTTACCATCAGTTTCAGAGTACCCAATAAGTTGTCTGATCAGCTTCTCAGTAATCACAATCTCCTTTCCAAGGACAGAAGAATGGATGAACTTAGGGAACACCTGAGCATGTATCCAGAATTCTTTCACCAAAGTTGGATAAACAGGACCCATAAGCCTGTCAAAATACTTTGTCCAACTCTGAGTTTAAATAGTTGAAGAAATATTAAACCCATTTTCTTCAATGGAATCAAAATCTACAAAGCATTCACTCAGAACTTCCAGATCTACAGTTGGAGTGAGAAGGGTTCTCACAGGTTCCTTGTACGCTTCAGCATTAGGAGAAGAAACAACAGTGGTTGAATGCATCTGAGCAGATGTCGATGAAGAAGATACCATTGTTGTTCTTGAGTGAGAGGTTTTAGGTTTAGGGTTTAGATGAAGAGCAAATAGAAGACAGAAATGCATAAAAGGTTCGTGAGGTGAAAAGTGTGAAATGGTGTGATTTGTGGTATTTATAGATATAATCAGGCACAAAGACAGTCACATAAGCACGCTTTACATAGCATTAAATGAAAAAGTAAAAAAATCATTGCACAACATTTATGGTTCTGACAGATGGGGGGAAAATCAAGAAAAAACAGATTTTCAAAGCAGTACCTCAAACGTTAATTCAGTAAAGTGCACTCTACCTTTCCAGTTTCTGAGCTACACGTGCTTGCTTATATGTGCTTCTGAAATCTCTTGAGATATGAAACGTTAGCCAATATTCAGATCCTCTGAGCATTGTTAGTTCAGATTTACATTAATAAAATAATTCAAGAAAATGAATAAATTGACAAATGAAATACTTCAGAGCATTAAACATTTTGCATCTGAGACGTTTGCCTCTGATAAATATTATTCTGGACAAAAAGCCATACCAATATTTTTCAGAATAAACTTGAACCTATCTTCAGCAAGGGGTTTTGTAAAAATATCAGCCCATTGATGATCTGAATCAACAAAGGCTAAGTTTATAATACCCTTCTGAACATAGTCTCTGATGAAATGATGCTTAATTTCTATATGTTTTGCCTTAGAATGTAAAATTGGATTTTTAGACAAACATATAGCAGAAGTATTGTCGCTACTCGAAAAATGCATCGCGCAACGACGGGGAGGCGAAAAAGATAGACAGAAGAGTCGCCACCGAACTTTATTTATCCCATGAGGGGAAAGGAAAATATCGAGAAAACCTTAAGAAAGAAATGGATAAGATGGTCTCGCGACCAAGAACGGGTTCGGAAGCCGGTTATGCGAGGGGAAGGTATTAGCACCCCTCGCATCCATCGTACTCGATGGGAACCTTTTGTTTGTCGATGTGTGAATATATTTGCTTAAACATTATGCTATAAGAAGTGTTTCACAGGGTAAAGAAGAAGGGTTAGAAACTGGGGAAAGAGAGGTAACGGAGGAAGAAGAGAGAAAGAACAGACTCGGTAGAACTTCGCAGTCCTATGCCTACGTATTCTCAATAGATGTGATAAAGTCAGAGTCGACGTAGTTCGGGGAACTACCGATATGGGGGGAAGTGTGCTCGGAAAGGATTGTGGCCCTTGTGCCTACGTATCTTTACTTGAACGAAGTAAAGAATCAGAGCAGCCGTAGTTCGGCCTACGGTTTGTTGATGTTTTTTATGGATGATGCTATCGTGCGCATTCTAGCAGTTAGGTGTTTCGCTGCTCGCTCGTTGGAGACTTAGGCGTTACCTGTTTGCGGTAGAACGGACGTAACATATCCTTTTTGAAAGATTGATTAGTTTTCGCCACGCGAGGCAAGAAGTCACGTTTGATTGATTGGAGATTGTTTTTAGGGGGCGAGACAGGTCCTCGGATAGTAACCCCTACGGGTAGTACCCAATTTGTTACCTCAAAGTTTTTGTTATAAAAAGGTGTGGCGAACGAGGTGTCTTCGTATTAAAAGACGAGTGTCGAAACCACCCTCACTACAGTGGGCATCCCAACACTCGAAGAAGAAGAGGTCTACACCCAATCCTCTCTCTTTAATTCAACATAAAGAGAGCTTCATTCTCTTATTAAGTGTTTTTGGTTTTGAATGGTAAGTGCTTTGCGACAGAAAACCCTACGGTAAACGTCAGCACTCGGGATAGGAGAAGGCCTACGCCTAACCACTCCATGACCATTCAAGTCTTTGTTGTGAAAAGATTTGAAAATGCACTCGGTACAGGACCGAGGTTTTAGGTGAGAAAGAAATGTGAGAGAAATTGTGAGAAGGAAGTTGTGAAAGCGAGATGGTGGATAAAGTCGCGTCTTCGTATTGAAAGACGAGTATCGAGACCACCCTCACTACAGTGGGCATCCCAACACTCGGAGAAGAAGAGGTCTACACCCAATCCCCTCTCTTTAATTCAATACAAAGATAATCGGATTTTGAAGATGGTTTGTCAATGCTTTTGAATCGAGTTGGGACAAGTGACGAAGAGAGAAAAGAGGTGGTCTCAGATCCAACATTACTTATCAATAATTTGACTGGTAATGAATTACGGAGGTCTCGTCATCGACCTAAACGGTGAAAAATGAAATAAAAGTTGAAAATGAGAAAGAGGAGAGAAAATTGGTCTCGGATCCATCGTTTCTCATCAATAATTTGACAGAAAAACAATGGAGGTCTCTTCATCGACCTAAAAGAGAAAAAAAGAGACAAAATGTCCAATGACAAAAGAGAAATGGAATTCAACTCTAAAAATAAAGATGGAATAAACTTCTATATAAAATATAAATCAAAAAAAATTTAAAAGAAAGAAAAAAAAGTATAGAACTTCTAAAATATATAGAATTCTAAATAGAAAATAAAACTTTTATAAGATAATATAATTATAAACTCTAAAAAAAAAATAACATATTAAAAATAAAGTAAAAAAAACAGAGAGGGTGAGATATAGATCTAGGAGGGGGCGGAATTATCATCATGGGCCGTGAGGCCCATTCAAATTCATTCACAACACAAAACAGAGCGGGGGGTATGTAATTAAATGGAGGACTGTAAATAGAAAAAATGGGCCGGAGGCCCTTCAACATTTATCCAAAAAATAATCAGCAAAAAGAAAAATAAAAATAAAAAAAAGAAAGAACTTTCTTCTTCCTCCGAAACGCTCAGTCACCGTTCACGTCTCTCACTCTCGATTTCTCCGTTTTCGCTCACTCTGTTTCGGGTTTGGTGTTATGATTTTGTTATGGGTTGAGATTATCCTGATTGTTTCTCTGGAGAGTCCTTTTGGGACGGCGAAGGAATCAATGTCGAAGTTGAAGCCGAATTTCTTGTCGTAATCGCGGTTGCGGAGGATTTCGCGGATCTTGACATCGGAGGAGGTGTTACGGGGTTCGTAGCTAACGTCGGCACGGGTTTTGAAGGGTTGTTTTTGTTTGAGAAAACGTGCATACCAACTGTTTGTGAAAAGGCTTTGAAGGAGGTAGAGTTGGCTAACGGTGTGGATTGTCATTTTGGGGAAGAAGGAAAGTCGGTTTGGGAGAAACCGGAGAAAGAGAAATGATTGGTGTTCGAAGGAGTTTGTGTTTATGAGTTGTAGATTGTTCGTTCAGAAGGTTGAGTTTGTTGTGGTGAAGGAGCTTTTCCTGAAACGAGCGTGACCGGTCCTGTTCTTTTTCGAGAAGTGAAATAACGCGTTTGAATTTGGGAACAGCGATATCAACGACGGCTTTGCAGTCTCTTTCAATTTCCATGGAAGTGTTGTGGTTGTTGTTGGGATTTGAAGGTGAAAAGGAAGATGAATATGAAGAAGTTTGGTATTTGTGGCGTGCTTCAGAGAGTAATTTGATGAGTTTTTCGACGCTTTCTAAGCCAGAAGCTGCTTCTTGGACAGCATTTTGTTCGGCTATGGAAGTGAAAGTTTTGGCTGTGTTGTAACCTGTCATGAGTTCTACTGCCATAGCTGGAGCAACAAAACCATCAAAGAAAAAGGAGAGAGGAGTTTAGGGATGTGTATCGTAGTTTTGAAGAAGTGGTGTCTGATGAAGGAATTTCGAAGGGGGAGAAGATGATTTTTTTGGCGCCCTCCATGTTCAGATGCGAAGAGCATGGTTTTGTGGAGTTGTGTGTTTTTCGGTTTGGATTTTGGGAAGTTTCAGTGCAGATTTTGGTTGTTTGATGTTGATGAAGTGAAGTGTTTAATGGTTATGGAAGTTAAAAGGGTTATCAAAGATGGTGAAGGAAGGGAATGGTGAAGTTTATGAGAGGTGGTTATGTTCGGGTATTCATGGCTTAGTGAGGTTTGGGAACAAGGCTGGTAGGTTTAGTGATTGCAGCTCTTCTCTTTTTTGTTGTTGTTTTATGGTTTTGTGTATAGGCTTTTGTTGTGTGTGTGTTTGTTTTATGGTACCATTTAGACAAGGTTCTCATGGTTTGTTCGGTTGTGCAGAGTAGTTGTCTGGCGGTACGGTTTGCAGCTGGCCATTTTGCTTGTGGCAGGTTGTTTTGTCTGGTGTAGGAGGAGTAATAGCAGTGTAGTGTGTGCAGAGTATTGTAGCCGGCTGCAGAGTTGTCTGGTGTGGTATTTGTGTGGCAACTGGTTTTGTCTTGTTGTAGCAGGTTTTTGGTCTGCAAACTTGTTCATGATTTCGTCGCAGGTACAAGTTAATGTTCACTAGAAACAGAACCTTACTCTTTCTACTTCAACATTTTCAATGATTTTTCTGCCATTACAGTATGCCATGAATCACATCTTTATTTTAGCTAATTATTTCCTTTTAGCATGATGTGTTTGTTATGATATTGATTCTGTCTTGGTTTGCCTTTGATTCTTACTGATATAATGACTTTGGTGCAGCTATGAACTTGCGTTTTATCACCTCTGTGAGGGGTTTGTGGAATTACCGTGACGATAACATGAGATGTACAGGTCTTGAGGTACAATCACGTTACGGGAAATTTGAGGTCGCTTGCTAAGTCATCACAACCTACACAGGCTGCTGCATTTTGCTTGTTAACAATGTGTGTAACGCGTGCCGATTCTTTTGCTTGGTTTCTTGAGGAATTCACACAGGATAAAACTTAAAGCCTATGACGTAAATCTGAGGTGGTTGGAAATTGGAAGCGACTCTTATTTGTTCACTGTGCATTGTAGGTACAAGTTGGAAAAGTTGTTCTGCCAAACGCGAAAACTTCACGAGCTTCTTTAGTTCTAGTACTCACAATTCCTCCTTTTTGTCGTGCTAATATTTGCCCCTTTCTGTTTGTAGTTCTGCAGGTACTGAGTAGTGCGTTATTTACGGCACGAAACGATTTTCCTGTTTTCAACTTCCTCTTTCAAATATTCCACAAACCCACTCATTTACGCATTATGGATGTGAGACTATCATGCTGTTGCGCTTTCATTTTCCTGGTGCATACGCATTTTCCGCATTTTCCGTCTGGTTGTTTTGCAAGTCCACTCTTTCTGTTGGTGCGGAATGGCTGTTGGTCACGTGTTGGTCATGTTCATTCCTTTTACTTTGTAATGGTGGATTAATTGTTATCTTGGCTGGACTTTTATGCAGGTTATGTGAAAGAAAAAATGATGATGGCTACCTTATTTGATGGCATTCCTGGAAGATATCTGGCTTGTGCAGAATTTGAGGAACTGTGGGACTGAGGTGGCACGGTTTGCAGAGAAACGTTGATGAATTGGTGCTATTCCAACTATTGGTGCTATTCCAACTCCCTGCTCGTGGGCTTTTCTTCTTCAAATTACTCCACCAACCTTAAATGGACCTTTTTTTTTCTTTTTTCTGTGAACTTATTTATAAAGTGTTGCATTCTATCAAATGCTAATTGAAGTGGGCTCTTGTAATGACGCAGACTATAATTGTATGTGTGTGTTTTTTTTATGAATAAAATTTGGGTAATTTGGATCCTCATCATAAATTCAATGACTTTGAACAAAATGCTATTGGGCCTGTGTACACTTTTCTTTGCACCTCCACCTCTCACATTTTTGATTTATGCCTGAAATACCTTAAAATTGAAATGAAATAGAATCTTATATTGACATGAGTCCATCACTGAATCAATTTCCAAACTTTGTTGCGTGCACTGATGTAAATAACCCCTTCACCAGGAACCAAATGAGCAATAAGTGTCTCTAAATCAAAAGATAATGGCCTGAGATGTGAACTACAGAGCCCAAGGCTCTAACTGAAAATGAACTGATCTTTGGTGATTTCTCAGCCATGAATCGTCTGAATTTGGCGCCACCTGACAACTCGCATAAGTAGAAACCTTAATTGGATCCTCAGGCATATACCCTATACGCGAGTATTTCAACCTTACACAAAATTGGATGATGAGTGGAAACAACATATTTTTTTGATTTTTTAGATATAGTTGGTAGATGGATACAGATATGAAAGTTATACACAAGTGGGACAAATTTAGGGTATGACAGATGCAATGTGATATGTTAATGCAATGAAATGAAACATAAACCAAATGGATAAAAGGTAGGGCAAATTTTGGGGTACAACAGCTGCCCCTATTCAAGCGACTTAGACCTGAATGGATGAAAAGCGAACAACTTTCAGACGATCATGGTAAAAGGCGGTTGAATACCAAAGAGACCTGAAATTTGCCAACCGTAAAAGGAACTTCTGACATCGCCGTCAGGTACCCATATTAAGTGGAACATCTGACCTCGCCGTCAGCTCCTTTAATAGCATCTAACCTCGCCGTCAGATCTCAGCGTCAAAATTATAAATCAACTGACTTCGTCGTCAATTTTTCACACAGAATTTTAAAAACCCCTGACTTCGCCTGTCAGCTCTTCAAAATAATCTTCTGACCTCGCCGTCAAATTTACAATATTTTCTGACTTCGCCGTCAAAATCTTTTTCAAAATCGTCTTCTGACTTCGCCGTCAATCCTCAGAATGGTCTGACCTCGCCGTCAATTTTTCGTTAAATACGAACAGCCATTAAATTCAAAGATATAATTACTTTTGACATCGCCGTCAACACAAACATCTCAACATTGTCGTTGAAACAAATTTCTCAACATCGCCGTTGAAGAATCAAATCACTTGACATTGCCGACAAAACAAACTTCTCAACATCGCCGTTGAAAAAAAACTAGACCACTTGACATCGCCGCCAAGAACAGATATCCAACATCGCCGCTGCAAGACAAAATTACTTGACATCGCCGCCAAGACAAACATTCAACATCGCCGTTGAAGAACTAACTCACTTGACATCGCCGCCAGAAGCAAACATCCAACCTCGCCACTGGGAAAACAAAATTACCTGACATCGCCGCCAGCTAACATCCAACCTCGTCGCTGGGAGAACAAAAATATTTGACATCGCCGTCAACTCTCAACATCGTCCAATGATGGACAGAGAGAAAAATCATATCCAGAACTCACATCGTCAAAATCACATCGTCTAACGGTAGATAGAAAGAATATGCCATATCCAAAACACTCATATCGTCCAATGATGGACGGAGAGAAACGTTATATCCAAAACTCGCATTGTCTAATGATAGACAAGAGGAACACCAAATCCAAATCTCGCATCATCTAATGATAGACGAGAGAAACACCAAATCCAAATCTCGCATCGTCTAATGATAGACGAGAGGAACACCAAATCCAAATCTCGCATCGTCTAATGATAGACGAGAGGAACACCAAATCCAAATCTCGCATCGTCTAATGATAGACGAGAGGAACACCAAATCCAAATCTCGCATCGTCTAATGATAGACGAGAGGAACACCAAATCCAAATCTCGCATCGTCTAATGATAGACGAGAGGAACATCATATCCAAATCTCACGACGTCTAAAGATAGACGGAGAAGACCATACCGAAGGCCAGATCAACATGCACTTGATCTTATCACCTTGTCTAAAGATAGACAGGAAGAAAACTTGTCCGAAGAACCACATCGTCTAAAGATAGACGGAAAGAAAACCATACTCACGACGTCTAATGATAGACGGAGAAAATACTTGCTGGGGAAACACATCTTCAATAGGAACTGACGGAAAGAAAACTGCTCGGGAATGTCATCATCAGAAGATTGATGGACAAAATCATAACCGTCATATGATCTGAAATCCGAGTAAACCGACAAGCTGTTTGAACAAAGCTGCTGGATAAATGCCCCTAGACTGATTACAGAGTGATTCACGTTACCACAGAAGGCTAACAAAAACTGGCTTATGCTTCGCATGCACATGTTTGAATTTTCCTATGGCATAATGCTCCATATAGGATGAAAATGCTACGCATTTGAGGATGAGATGCAAAGATGATGCAAATATGATAACTATATGCAAAAATGCAGATGCAGGCTCGGGCTGCCGGGGAAAGCTGGATCTGAAAGAATCACTCCAGCAAAATAAATGCTGAAGAGGTGAAGCCAACTCCGCTGGGAATAACCGGATGTGCCAAGTATGATTGGACTCTCCTGGGGATAGCTTACACATGCCAATGATGATTGGGCTTTTGCTGGGGAAGACAGGTGAAGGGTTACGACTTCCCGACATTCATCTTGAACCTGAAGATTGACTGCACCTGCTTGAATAGCTCTGAGCAGCTCTGAAGGTATGGAGAGGAAAAGTTCCTTTATTTCCAAACTTGCCCCAACCTGCGGGATATCTGCGTAAATCTTCCTCGAAAGGAACCTGAAGTTTCTGTACCCTGCTGGTTTGATAGGGACTGCCTCAGCATCATGAACCTCGGAGAGGTGCCTCCAGATTAACTGCCTTCTGGATAAGGATAATATATGTGCTCTTGGGGTAACCTGCCCCAGCCTTGAAGTGATTTGCCCCTGATTGGCCGATTTGTAGAGAAGTGCCCCTGGCTGACTTCGAGAGATTTATCGAATCTCGACCTGATTGCCCCAGATTAACTGATCTTCGGATGGCTGACTCCTTTGATGATCATTTG